TATTTAAATGTGCTTTTCCTTCTCCATTAGATGTTTCCATCTTACCATTGATTTGGTAAGAAGCTTCATCGTTGGATGTGAAGGGACGGGTGTTTGGGTCATCGTATGACTGTGATAGCAATATTGTGAGATGACTTAGCACTTTTCTTTAGGAACTAAGATCATTTTGAAAAGGCAACTTTGATCTTGTATTTTTCGATTTTTTTGTGCTAAGACATCCCACATGCATAACATGGCCATTTTTGTACGGTGTTGTACCCCAAAATTTGCCCTCCCATAATCTTCAAAGTTTTGCCAAGCATCACCTCAAATGGTTCAAAGTCTACTCAAGGGCTACACAGTCAAGCATCCTCCTAAGGCAGGCAAAATTAGGGTTTTGGTTCTTGCAAGGAAGCTGAAGTTTTCAAGGGCTCAATCAAGTCCCACATGCTCATACACTTTGTCAAGCATCTACATGTCAAGTTTCAAGGCTCACAAGGTCAAGTTGCACAGTCAAAAACCCTAATTGCTCAACAGTCAACTGCAGGGGCAAAATGGTCATTTGGCAGTCAAAAGTAAAAATTTTTGGTCAACATCTTATTTTGAAGCCACAAAAATCATTTGATCAATTCTTGATCATGATTCTCAAAGTATGGCTCAAAAAGACTCAAGATGCAAAAGTTTCTATTTTTGGACAGCTGAAAAGTCAACTGTAACTTGACCAAGGCATAACATTTTCATGGTTCATCAGAAAAATTCCATCCAATGCTCATCTTGAAGGGGAGGACATTTCCTACAACTCATCTTCACACTCCAAGTCCAAGAAATGCTCTCACAAAAAGTTATCAATTTCAACATTATATGTCATTTTCAAAAGTCAACAAAAAGGGACTTTAAGTCAAAGACCATAACTTGAGATTGGTAAATCAAAATGACATGGGACCAAAGACATTGGTTAGATAACTTGAAGACCTTTCCAAAATGTCCAAGAACATGTTCATAACTTCAAAATTGAGCAAGATATGCATTGGAGAAGTTGGGAAATTTTTGTGAAATGGCCAAAGTCAACTATCCTTGAAATTTCATTTTTGACAAAAGGGGCCCACTTTTTCCACTTGTTTCAGCTTGGCCATGCTTCCCAAGTGTCCCACAAATTATTTCAAAATTTAAAATTAATTTTTTCATTTTTATTTAATTTTACTTGATTTAATTCATTTTAAATCTTTTAAAATCAAATGAAAATCAAAAAGATTAATTAAGGGACATATTTTGCTTTGACTAGCTTTGAATCACCATCATTGACATTCCAATTTCGTGCAAGGGCCTAAATGAAGCAAGAATTCAAATTTTGGCTTAAGAATGGAAAGTGCTTCAATGGAGTTTATGGAAAATCCCAAGCATGAATGCATTGCATTATTGGCTTTAATTCTGATCAAAACTCATTACATAATACATGTGCAAGCTAACACAAGTGAATTCACGACCTAAAAAAGCTGAGAAACTGCAAAACACACTTCAAAATTTTCAAGCAAAAAAGCAAATCTGAAAACCTAGTTGCAGTGCCTCTCAAGCCTCCATTCCAATCCAAACATATTCCTGGCATCCCTAGGAAGCTTTGGCAATCAGAACCAAGCACAATCATTCAAGAAATCGTGCCATAGAACTCTTCCGGTTTGCTTCATTTTTCAAAATCGTATATCACGTTTCATAAACATTTAACCCATTTTCTTTGTTGTTTTGTGTTGCTAGAGGCTTTCTGAAGCTAATAGGATGATTCAATTGCATTCTAATGCATTATAGCATGATTCACCATTGAAACTTTTTAGGGTTTTTCAAGCTTCAAATTGGGGATTTCCCCATACTGTAAAATTGGGACATCAAACTGCCATGGTTGAATTCGTGATATCCAAACGGACATAACCATAACCTTGCGCTCAATTTATGTGCAAGCATGAGCTGTTCGCTATTTTTTTGCAGGTTGTGTTTTGGGGGGGTTTAAAACCCCCGCTATTTATTTATTTTACAGGGACAAACGGAGAAGAAGGTTGGCGTGGCAAGACCTGAGTGGAAGGTTCAAATCCACGCGCGCATTTTTTTGTTTTTTGGCATATAATGTTTTTGTTCTATATAATACTTCATTTCTATGTTACTTACAAACGCGTGCATTGGATCAGTTGGTAGGCAGGTGGCTTGGTAAACGCTGGGACCTGGGTTCGAATCCCAGGTCCCCCCAAATAATTTCTATTATTTTGTTTCAAATGTTTCCATGCAGTGCACGTCCTAGGGCTCACCATGCATCCCAACGCTTAGGCTTGACAAGTGGCTTCAAGACCATTCTGAAGGCCAGAACATGCAGCACACGATGCACCCTAGTCAGCAAGCAAGCACATGATCAAAAAAGTCAACGTGGTCTTTGCCTCAATGGGCCTGAATTCCATATTTCACCCTCCTATTTGGCCCACACCCCTTGGTTTTCATTTCTTTTCTTTTATTATTTATTTGTTTTTTTGTTATTTCCCATTATTTTTAACCCTTTTATTTTATTACTAATAATTAGTTTAATTAACCATTTTCATAAAAAACCAAAAAAATATAATTAACACCTTTATTATTATTATTTATTATTTTGTAAATAAACCATAATTGAACTAGTTTTTAATTAGGCCATTTTAACATTTTAATAATTAAAATAGATTTAGATTTAGGTTAACCTAGAATTTTATTTCTTATTCTATTTTATTTCAAAAAAAATATAAAAACAAAAAAATATTTTCTTGTAATTAAAATAATTAATTAATTTTTAATTTCATTTAATTACCAAAAAAGACAAAAAATTTAATTTCCTTTTCTTTATTCGCGCGTATTTAATTTGTTCGATTATTATGTAATTGCTCCGGATATGTAATAGTAAATAGGACCTTTTACTTTCTTTCTTTTTTTTCGCACTTATTTACTTAAAACGGGTCTTTGTAAAGATTTGGCGATGTATAGACCCGCGCCTTGTAATAGCGTAGGATTTACGTTTTCCGCAATTTACTTTCCGCACCCCTTTTAACTGTTAACTTGTATGAAAGAATGCATGCCCAAATAAAATCAAAGCGTAGATCACTATAATGCATGACAAGATAAAATATAACTGAAAATAACACACAAATTCACACACCACTCTTAGGGTACGCCTCACTGTTGCCTTGCCCTCGAAACGTGGTTGCCGAGTATAGGACGTTTTAGTAAGTCCTTATGTCTATGACCCATGGCATAAGGGTAGCTTCTAAGGTGTCCTACTGTTGCTCTGGTGGCCACACTGTCCCTACAAGCTCGAATTGTGGTCGTCGAGTACAGGACGTTTTAGTAAGTCCTTATGTCCATGATATGATCCAGTTGCCTCGGAAAGGTTGCCTCAGAATTAAAAAGGATCAATGGCATAAGGGTAGCTTCTAAGGTGTCCTACTGTTGCTCTGGTGACCACACTGTCCCTACAAACGAATTGACCCGAACACCTCCAACGGTGGTGCTACCTACCTCTCAATGGTGGGATGGCACTACCTTAAGGACATTTACACAGCCTAATTCGTTAGGGTAGGTGGATGACTCATAGATACTTGCTCTATTCAAAAACAAATCAAAAACTTCTTTTCACACTGACACTTTTCAAAAAGCTTTCAAAACAATTTTTCAAACACTCTTGAGGACTGATACAAGAGTCGATCTGAAATCTTTAAAACGAAACTTTTTCAAACCCACTCACACTTGAAAAGAAAACAAACATTTTGAAAACACAATGAGCAAGTATCTAAGAGCCCATGGATAACCATGGATAGAAAGGGTGCTAATACCTTCCCTTTCTATAAATCTACCTCCCGAACCGAGAAACTATCTCATAAGGAATTTTGCTGTGCTTTTGTCCTGTCCATATTGGAGAAAATAAAAGACGGTGGTGACTCTTGCTTCCGCGACATTTCGCGAACCAGCGTTAAACAGTCAGTTCCCACTACAAGAAAATTAGTGTTTAACGACACAAAAATTGCGACAGTTATGTGATAACTGTCGTAATTGACATATAGAGACAGTGTTTACGACGGTAAAACAACCGTCGGCCCCCATTTAACACTTTTAACATTGATTTTTCACCAACAACTAGTCACGACGGTAAAATTAACCGTCCTAAAAGGCATATCACGACGGTAAAGCACCCGTCGCACCTTTAAACCTTTCACGACGGTAAAATTATCCGTCCTAAAATTCATTTCACGACGGTAAAACAACCGTCGCACCCAAAACCTTTAAAAATTCTCATGGGCACGACGGTAAAACACCCGTCGCCATAAAAAAGTTAAAAAGCTCTTAAAAAGCTCTTATTCATTTCATTATTCTTGTTACAATTTTATTTTTACAGTGAACCCTTCATCTCTCTCCCGCGCAGCCTCTCACCCCCCAACCTTCAAACCCAGTTCTCCCTCAATCAAAACCCAACCACCAAAAACAAACAAAAAGCTAAAGATCTTACCCCTTTCGCGATTGCTTTATGACTTTCTGTCCGATTTGTTCTGATCTTCTTTCTCTCTTGATCCCAATACCAAATCATCGAGTTTGGAGCAAAACCCAAACTCCTCAATTCCAATCGAGTTTGGAGCAAAACCCATAGCGCCATCTCATCTCTTGCCAAATTGCACAACTCATCTGATCCTAATGAGCGAGAAGTTTGTGAAATTCTCAAGGGTTTGGGAGACAATGTTAAAGAAGTTGATGCGGAGCATGTTCTGCATAACATAACAAACCCTGAAATTGCGATTCTTGCTGTTAAATACTTCCAGAAGAAGATTGAACCGGAGAGACATGTTGTTCTTTACAATGTGTTGTTTAAGCTTTTTAGAGAAATTAATGATTTTGAAAAAGCAGAGAAGGTGTTTGAGGAAATGCTGCAGAGAGGAGTCAAGCCTGATGTTGTTATGTTTTCGACTTTGATTAGGTGTGCTTCTGTTTGTTCTCTGCCTCACAAATCCGTGGAGTTGTTTGAGAGGATGCCTTCTTTTGGGTGTGAGCCGGATCATAATGTGTCGTCGTCGATGATTTATGTTTATGCTCGCACAGGTAATGTTGATATGGCTTTGAAATTGTATGATGATGCGAAAAATGAGAAGTGGCCTGTTAGGGCAGTTGCATTCTCTGCTTTGATTAAGATGTATGGTGTGTTGGGAAACTATGATGGGTGTTTATAATGGCTTTGAGTGTTTATAATGATTTATGCAGCAAGTGTTTATAATGGCTTTGAGTGTTTATAATGGCTTTGAGTGTTTATAATGATTTATGCAGCAAGTGACTTGCTGTTACGATTTACTGACATTCAGTTTTTGTCGTTTTGATTTTCATAAAAGTTAAAAAAAAATATATTAATGGTTTTCTTTCATTGAAACAGGGATTACTTGCAATACAACTTACAGCTGTATTCAAGAATCTGCATCCACCATCCTGTGCAAAGGAAAGTAGCACATGCATTGGACCAACAGCGGGACAAATGACGTTTCTATTTTCTGGGTTTTGCTTACTCTTGATAGGTGCTGCAGGGATTCGACCGTGTAATTTAGCATTCGGTGTTGATCAATTCAATCCAAAAACAGAATCAGGAAAGAAAGGAATCAACAGTTTCTTCAATTGGTATTATTTCACCTTCACTTTTGCTCAGATGATTTCTTTGTCATTGATTGTGTATGTACAATCAAGTGTGAGCTGGGCAATTGGTCTTGGAATTCCTGCTGCATTGATGTTGTTAGCTTATGTGTTATTTTTCATGGGTGATAAATTGTATGTTAAAGTAAAACCAAGTGGCAGTCCCATCAAAAGTATTGTACAAAGATGTGGCCAGACCTTATTCAGAAATCCAAAGATGGAGGAATTGATGTCATTGAGACTTATGTTTTCTGGAACTTACACGAACCTGTTCGACGCCAGGTTCTGTTCTTTTTCATTGTCTTTCCACTTTCATATTGTTATTCTTCTGTCTTTTACATTGCAGTTTTGTGAGTTCTCAAAATTAACGATGGATTACATATTTTGGCTTGGCAGTACAATTTTGAAGGTAGGGGTGATTTGGTTGGATTTGTGAAGGCAGTAGCAGCAGCAGGTCTATATGTTCATCTCCGGATCGGTCCATACGCTTGTGCAGAATGGAATTACGGGTAAAATTGGATCTTTTCAATGTATCATTTTGAAGACAGTTTCATCATAATATCTAATCCCTGACTTTAATTTCTTTTCCCTTCCTAAACAGTGGTTTCCCTCTTTTGTATGGTTGTTTCTTGGATTCTACTGGGTAACTGCTGGTGGTCAGAGTTTGACAAGGGTTTCACCTCAGCTTTACTGGTTAGTTACATCTTAGAATAGTATATATTATCGATAAAATCTTTTGCTTTACGCATTTGTCCCATGTTTCTACCTTGTAACTGTGTAACCATCACACACGTTGTATTTTGCAGGCTCTGTATCACATTTCTTGCTTTCGACGTTGCAATTGTTGTGATTTGTGTTACTGCTGCGTGTCTCATTGGAATTGCCGTTTGCTGTTTTCTTCCATGCATACTTGCTATTTTGTATGCAGTGACTGATCAGGTAACACAGATCACAACAATCTTTTTTCAACTTCATCACACTTAATTTGATATTTAATGTGGCAACAGGAAGGGGCAACCAAGGAAGAGATTGACCTGTTGCCAAAATACAAGTTCAGAATAATAAAGGAACTTAAAAAAGAAGGTGATGCCCAAGAATCATCGAGAGGAGTGATGACGGAATGTGACAGTGGTTCAGCTTCTGAGCATATTATTGCCTTAGAAGATGCAGTAGGTTCCTAGTTATTAAATACGGATTATCTTTTTATAACATGTTCGAACCCGCTCTTTTGCAGTCGGATGTCCATGTATAGCAGCTACCAACTAAGTTGGCTTAACGAGACTATCCTTTTATATTTTCTGATGGATGATCAATTTGCAGGAATGTTGTATCTGCCTTTCGGCCTATGATGATGAAGCTGAACTTAGAGAACTTCCTTGCAATCACCATTTTCATTGCACATGCATTGACAAATGGCTGCTCATCAATGCCACCTGTCCTCTCTGCAAGTTTAACATTTTGAGCACTGATAACCTCCAAGAAGTTTGAACTGGTTACTTGGTGCATTGACAAGGATGGCGGCACAACCCTTTTTCATAACAATCTCAGATGAATTACTGATAAAAATTTCAGATGCAGAGTCACCATTACTTACACCAATTCTCGCTTGCAAAAAGGACATGTTGGTTTCCGATTTCGTTCGACTTTGCTTTAAATATGAAGGTTCTGCAGTTCAGTGCAGTAATCAAATTGGTGTAAGTAATGGTGACTCTGCATCTGTACCGTATTTGAAGGATTGGCATTTTGTGAAGGTATCATTTTTGGCTTTTCATCACTTTATCATTCATTGTTGTACATTCCAATTTTTGTGAATCATCCCAATTTCGTGAACATTCAGCAGGGTCATTCATCTCAAGAGCTATGAATCACATAAAGAGATGATATTCAATGACCAAAAAGTATCACCATCAGGTCTGTGCATGAGAATATATTTGTTTTTAGTTAATATTTGATACATATATGTGAAAAAGATTGCTAATAGTAATATCTGATGGGTCATTCATCATAATTGTATTTGTAGCTTCAAATTTTCATGAAAGATGTGATGAAGAGAAATGAATTGACTGCATCTCTTGGAAATGATGAATTAGTCTTCATCCTGATAAGCTTAAAGCTTTCGGTTTATTTGTCAAATCTAAATTTTTTAGATTGCTAATATTTGACAGTTATAGTAGAGACAAATCATAAACTTTTGAAACATTTGAAATTTTGTTTAGAACTTAATCAAAGCTTAGAAATTCTGTTTAAAATCTCTCTGACTTTGTTTATGACTTATTGAAACCAGGTTTTTATTGGAGATATACTTGCTGCTAATTCATCTCACAGTGAGTTCTTCAATCTGTCGAAGCAATTTTGGAGTATTACACCAGAGGTATTTTCTGATTTAGTTGGTTTTGTGTGTTGAAACTCATCATCCAATTTTGGTAGTGAACATGGATATCATGTTTGTAATAACTATAATGTATTCTTTTACAATAATAATAATAATGTATAGTATACCTCTTATCTACACATATTTATTTAGATAGATAGTATATCATGTTTGTAATAACTATGATGTATTCTTAATATCATTTTGATTTTGTTAAACATACTATCAGTCCAAATATGGTAGATCTGCTATTGCACATGAGATTCAACTAGCATTTTCATTTTCATTTTATTAATTTAAATAAAATAATTAAATTTTTTCATGAGATTAAACATACTATCATTTTCATTTTGATTTTATTAATTTAAATAAAATAATTACATTTTTTCTATAATCAAATTCTATATATATCAACTAGCTTATTAGTCAAAATCTTCTTTATATATAGTATTAATTTGTTAATTACAATTTATCAGTGATTATAATTATTAGTTATATTTTTATAATACATTAAATTACTTAATTGATGTTTAATAAATTTTTTATATGTTTATGTTATGAATAGCATCAATTAGCCTATTGGAGATAATGTGAATACAACAATTGCAGACTTAATTAATGATGATGGAAATTGGAATTGAAGCCATTTAAGGAACATGTTCAGTCGGAAGTTTTTGGATATAATGCTTGTAATACCTCCACCAAGAACAAGGATATAGAGGATCATTGGAAAGGCATTTGGAATCTGAGTGTTACTAAAAGAATAAGGGTTTTTGTGTGGATGATATATCATAATGGAATCAAAACCAACCAATATCTAAACCACTTGAATCTTCCAGATAATTTGTGTGATTACTGTGATGGAAAATGTAGTAGTGTTGTAGCTGAGCTTTGGTGAGTAATGGAAGGCATTGATTTAGCTCGCACAAGGGCATAGAGAAGACTGATGGTGCAAGTAGACATCAACCAAGTTTTTGAAGCTCTCACAATGAGCTTAGTCGAGAAAGGTCTAGGTTTAAATCTGATTCCTAAAATCCAGGAATTTACAAGCACTAATGAAGACATTTCTATCGTCTATATTTATCAGGAATTGAAAAAGTGTGTCGACGTGCTTCTATATGAAGAATGTCCTCAATTTATGTATCATACATATCTAAAGAACTTGAGACGCCTTGATACATATCCAAATTTGATTAGGTTTCTCCTTAGCGGAAAGTGAATTTTATTTTATTGGAGATTTTGTTGTAGTTGATTTTTCTGTACCTTATAACTTTTCATACAATTGGAGTTTGATGATATTTGAATTTTTCTTGTTTATTGGTAAAATTTGCACTTCTTTTTACCTTTGATCACATTTTTTTGATATTATTGATGATTATTTGATATTAAATGTTTTTATTGTAATTAACTTTATTATGTTGAAAAGTGATAGAAAATAAAATAAAAATACTATAAATAAAAAAATATTAAAGTAAATAATAATTTAAATATAATAGTAAAATATTATAGTAAAATAATATTATATTTAAAATTATTTTACTAAATAATAATTTAAATAAAAATATTATTTGAAATTTATAAATCAGATTACGACGGTTAAAACCGCCGCAATTTCTAACCTACGGCGGTAGAATAACCGTCGCAAACAACAACAAAAACAAAAAATAAAGTCAAATTCACGACGGTATATAACCGTCGCTATCTGTTGTGCGTGACAGTTTTGCAACCGTCGCGAAATAGGCTGGGGACGCACGATTCTGCGACGGTACTTCTACCGTCGTAGATTGTAAATTGCGACGGTTTTAACCGTCGTAATCAGCCAAAATAACCGTCCCAATCTATCATTTTTCTTGTAGTGTCCAGATCCACCGATCACAGAACTGGCGACTCTGCTGGGGAAACTATTAAAGTGAGGTGTACCTTAGGATAGTTCATAACTGTGTTTTCAATTGTTGTGCTTTGTTTGCTTTATTATTGTGGGTTGCATCGGAGTTACATAGATCCTAACTCGGATCTGGGGATACCCTGTTAGGTAGCATAAGCTATGAGGGACCTGTCCGGTGTAGACCGACATGGGTGAAGCAGTGGCTACGTTGGTGTGGCGCCTTGGTCTGTACCGATATCCCTTGTGTCACAACGAGGAGAATATGGGTCTTTTGAGGAGCCATTAAGCACCAACCGACCTTAGAACCTTAAATGACCCAACTTGGCCAATAGAACAGTAGCAGTATGCTACGCCCATTGAGGCTAAACTCTCGTGATGGTTTTGGCCGCAAGAAAAGGTTGCGATGCTGGAGTTATGACCGATTGAGGGTAGTCAGTGATATTAGGATCCTCTAGAACCCGGTTACTTCTGATAGGACAGGTCTTAACCAACAAACTGAAAGAGGGTAATACCTAGACCCCATGCTGGCCTAAACTCTAAGGGTTGTGGTGTGACTTGTGTGCCTTATCATGTTTGCCTATGTGAATATTTGTGGTGTGCTTTATCATAACATCATGCCATCATAACATTGCATGCATCCTGCATAAGGACTGACCATTTCAAAGACAAGAGGGTTTCACCTTTGCTCTGTTTTGTAGGACATCATGATGCCTATGCGAAGGAATACTATCCGGTTCAGCTTCGTTCACCCACCTGAGTTACTTGAAGAGTTGGTTAGCAGAATTCCAAATACTACTTCCTTCATCCAGAGGCATGGTTCTCTTCTCAGTTTAGTCACGACAAAGTGGGACCAACAGCTGATGAGTGTCCTGACCCAGTTCTATGACCCTCTGTACCAGTGCTTCACCTTTCAAGACTTCCAGCTGGTCCCTACCCTGGAAGAGTTCTCTGATTTGCTCGGCATCCCTATCTTGGATCAGACTCCCTTCACTGGTTGGGAAAAGACTCTTAGGCTCGAGGAGATTGCTGCAGCCCTTCCCTTGACCAACAAGGAGGTAATGGACAACTGGGAGACTAGAAGCGGAGTTAAGGGCTTCTTGGCTAAGTTTCTCATTGGTAAAGCTAACAGTTTCTAGAATGAATTAGACTTCAGGGCGTACGAGGACATTCTGGCACTCTTAGTCTATGGTCTAGTCTTGTTTCCTAATCCTGATAACTTCATTAACGTCACTGCCATAAGGATCTTCATGTCTCGGAACCCTGTACCCACTCTCTTGGGTGATGTCCTGCAACAACTCTATGCTCGTACTGCCCGAAGACGAGGAACTCTGTGGTGTTGTACTCCTTTGTTGGTGAGGTGGTTTATTTCGCACCTCCCCAAGTTCGTGCTAAAGAACCAAGAAGGAAGAGGCTGGGCTCATAGGTTAATGTCTCTCACTGATAGTGACATCATTTGGACTCTCAGAGGTTTGGATGAGGTAGTTGTTATTGATCGTTGCGGAGAGTATCCTAATGTTCCTTTGATTGGCACTCAGGGCGGAATCTCTTATAATCCATGTTTAGCTCTCCGTCAGTTTGGGAGAGCCAGAAGAGCAGGGCCTCATGAGATGCGGGTGCCTCACATCAGTTTTGAGTTTCAGAAAGATAGTGACAAACTGCGCCGTAGATTCATCAAAGCTTGGGACAGAATTCACAAAGCTGACCCACAAGAGCTGGGACCGAAGACTTCTCTACCTATGGAAGCCTACCACAAATGGGTCCGCATCCGTGCTCAAAAGTTACGTATGCCATATGAAACTGTCAGGCCTATCACTCTTGAAAGTCCTGATGGAGACGGGGTTCCTCCAACCATACTCCCTCCTCAGATACCCACTGATGTTGATACACTAAAGAGGTCTTGGGCGCAACTACAGGAAGAGCGGGATTATTATCGGGAAAAGTTCAACGAACAGGAACAGAAGATCCAGAAGCTGACCAAGCAACTGGAGAACGAGCGGGCCCTGAATGACTATATCCGTACTAAGAAGAGGAGGCCATGGGAGCACTGATGGGCTTTGGATGTTTCTTTTACAACTTTATTTCCTTTTCAGTATTTTCATTCTTGTAACGCCTAAGGGCAGATTGTTGAACAATTTAAAGATTGAAGCTAATAAAGCGTGTTCCTTTTGTTTACAAAGTTGACTCCCGATTGTCTTTGAAAACATAATTCATACGCATTTCATTCATCATATG